ATCCTAAGGCCACCAAAGTGGATCCCCTCAACATCTCGGCTGCACCTAGAAATTCTGTCCATGAAAACAATGAACAGAATCGGTGACAAAGGGCAGCCTTGGCAGAGTCCAACTCTCACCGGAAATGAGCCCGACTTACTGCCGGCAATGTGGACCAGACTCTGACACCGGTCGTACAAGGACCTGACAGCCCGTATCAAATGGCCTGGTACCCAATACTCCCGGAGAACCCCCCACAAGGCCTCCCTTGGGACACGGTCGAACGCCTTCTCCAAGTCCACAAAACACATGTAGACCGGTTGGGCGAACTCCCATACACCCTCTAGGACCCTGCTGAGGGTGTAGAGCTYGTCCAGTGTTCCACGACCAGGACGAAAACAACACTGCTCTTCCTGAATCCGAGGTTTGACTATCCGATGGACACTCCTCTCCAAGACCCCCGAATAGACCTTACCAGGGAGGCTTAAGAGTGTGACCCCCCGTAATTGGAGCACACCCTCCGGTCCCCCTTTTTAAACAGGGGGACCACCACCCCAGTCTGCCAATCCAGGGGGACTGTCCCCGATGTCCATGTGATATTGCAGAGTCGTGTAAGCCAACACAACCCTACAACATCCAGAGCCTAAAGGAACTCCGGGGGTATCTCAACCACCCCCGGGGCCCTGCCACCGAGGAGCTTTTTGAGCAACTCAGCAACTTCATCCCCAGAGATTGGAGAGGCCAACCCAAAGTCCCCAGGCTCAGCTTCCTCAACAGAAGGCATGTTGGTCGGATTGAGGAGGTCTTCAAAGTATTCRGCCCACAARGTCACGAGTTGAGGTCAGCAGTACACAATCCCCACTATAAACAGTGTTGGTGCTGCACTGCTTCCCCCTCCTGAGATGCCGCATGGTGCACCAGAAATGCCTCAAAGCCGTGCMGAAGTCTTTCTCCATGGCCTCTCCAAACTCCTCCCACGCCCACGGGTTCGAGGGTTGCTGCCGCGACAGGCACCAACAACCTTGCAGCTGCATCTCTGATAAGTCGCCTCACCAATGGAGGTACGGAACATGGTCCATTCAGACTCAATGTCCTCCACCTCCCCCAGAACGTGTTCGAAGTTCTGCTGGAGATGGGAGTTGAAGCTCCGACTCACAGGGGACTCCGCCAGAGGTTCCCAGCAGACCCTCACTACACGTTTGGGCCTGCCAGGTCTGACCGGTTTCCTCCCCCACCACCGGAGCCAATTCACCACCAGGCAGTGGTCAGTTGACAGCTCCGCCCCTCTCTTCACCCGAATGTCCAAGACATACGGCCGCAGATCCGATGAAACATGACAAAATCGATCATCGAACTGCAGCCTAGGGTGTCCTGGTGCCAAGTGCACATATGGACACCTTTATGCCTGAACATGGTGTTTGTGATGGACAATCCGTAACGAGCACAGAAGTACAACAACAGAACTCCACTCGAGTTCAGATCGGGGGGCCATTCCTCCCAACCACGCCCCTCCAGGTCTCACTGTCATTGCCCACTTGAGCGTTGTTCCCCCAGCAGAACAAGGGAGTCCKCAGGAGGGGCACCCTCCAGTACCCCCTCTAAGGACTCTAAGAAGTGTGGGTAATCTGAACGGTTGTTCGGCCCATAAGCACAGACAACAGTCAGAACCCGTCCCCCCACCCTTAGGCGGAGGGAGGCTACCCTCTCGTTCACCGGGGTAAACCCAAATGTACAGGCGCCAAGATGGGGGGCAACAAGTATGCCCACTCCTGCCCGGCGCCTCTCACCTCAGGCAACTCCAGAGTGGAAGTACGTCCAGCCCCTCTCAAGGAGACTGGTTCCAGAACCAGAGCCATGCAACGAGGTGAGGCCGACTATTTCTAGCCGAAACCTCTCAGCCTCGCACACTAGCTCCGGTTCCTTCCCCACCAGAGAGGTGACGTTCCACGTCCCAAGAGCCAGCTTCTGCAGCCGAGGATCACACCGCCAGAGTCCCCTCCTTTGGCCGTCACCCATTACACATTGCACCCGACCCCTTTGGCCCCTCCTACAGGTGGTGAGCCCGTTGGAAGGGGGACCCACGTCTCCTCTTTGGGCTGAGCCCGGCCGGGCTCCGTGGGTGAAAGCCCGGCCACCAGGCGCTCGCCATCATGCCCCACCTCCAGGACTGGCTCCAGAGGGGGSCCCCGGTGACCTGCATCTGGGCAAGGGAATGCCAGATCCAGATTTTGTAAGCATCATAAGAGGTCTTCGGATCATAATATGACAGTCAAAATAATAAGTAACACATTGTAAATGATTGTCACATCAAACAATATGATATAAAAAATAAAAACCAAAATTATAAACACATAAAGAAGAGTATAAGAGTTCTTATCAATGGTAGTTTTTGTTTTCTGTCACACATGGTGTATGGATTCAGTCCTTTTCTGTGGCAAAAATGTTTGAGCAATCACAATCAGAGTCCAAGTCCTTTGTACTGCCAATCCTGTACAGATTTATGAGTCCTGTCCAAGAATTTGAGTCCAAAGTCCAGGTAACAGAATCATCTTTGTGTCCTCCTGGAAAAATAGAAAACACCACACCAGTATCTTGCAAAAAAATGACAAGTTTCAATACCATGCATGGAAAATGAACTTTATCATTATGTTTATACAGTGCTGATGAGTACCAGCATGTCTCAATTGTACAAGTGGTAATGTACCGTGAGGTATGTAACTATTTACAGTATATGAGGTGTTAAATGCCATCTCTCTTCTTTAGTCAACAGAAGAAAAAATAATAGAAAGAAATCCTCAGAGCTTTGACACAAACATCCTGCTCCTGGTGCTCAGTCAAATAATAAAGGACTGGGTCAAATCAAATGAATAAACAAAATCAAACAAAATTAATAATAAAAGATATATGTGAGGGGAAAAAAGAAAACTCCATAGGCAAACAATATATGTCAATAAACATATCAGTAAAGAAAAAGAAAAMAAAAACATTATATGTGGTGCCTTAACAGTTACTTATGGCCAGAATAAACACTAAAGTAATAAGGGGAAAACAGTAGCAATCAGCTTCGGACTGGGCTCAGCCAAAACAACGAACAAAAAAGACTCTAACTTTCTGAGTAACTGCTGTCCTGTCCATCAAAACAAAACAAACAAATTACATTCATCTTACCTCCCTAGATTAAAGAAACATGAGAAAACTGAATCAAACAAAAATTGGCTCCAGTCCTACACACATTTCCCTTCACAGTGTCAACACACAGACCTATTGTGAAGTGTAACCAGACCAAATAAAATACTTAAAATGGGTACATTTCCATAACATCATCACTCTGTAGGTGAATCATTTCCTCCTCACTCACATTTCCATCCAATAATGGCATTTGCACTTGGTTATCGGGCATCACCACTCCAAACTATCTTGAAATCAGGGCTTTTGCAAAAGTCAGCAACAGAGTACAAAAAACAAAACTTCATTAAAGTAAGTGGAAGTGCAGCCACCCAGTTCGGACCTGTATGTTAACAGATTTTTACCAGGTGGGTTTTTTTTAGCACCACATTCAATTTTTCACAAATGCCTTGGCTCTCCGTGTGATAAACAGATCCAAGGTGTTGTTTAATTCTTAACTTTTATAGGATCAGTTTTACAGTTTTATCTACAAACTCTCTCCCATTGTCTGATGAAATCCTATCCGGAAGTCCCCATCTGGGTATAACTTCACGACACAGAAAGTTAGCAATAGAGTGAGCATCTTTCTATTTGGTTGGACAGGCCTCCAGCCATCGGACTTCACCCTGTCCCAGTTTGTTGACAGAGAACAACACATACATATCCACCCCCATTTGAGGTGGACACATATAAGACAAAGGTTTTTTATTAATAATCAGGTAAAGCCAATGCTGGCTCTTCCTACAGTTTTTTCTCTTCAACGTTTATGGCAGTGGAGGTTGATTCTGTTGGGTTTGCATTACAACAGCTTAAGTCTTGTCTTTATTTTTACTGTCCATCAGTTGCACCTGGGTGAGCTTTCTGAGTGTCTCCTGGTCCTGTTGTTTTTGAGCATGTTCCTTCTTGCGCTGTAAGTCAACCTGGTGTGCAACATGGTCAGTATACACACTTTTCATCATGCTGCCCAGTCCGACCACCTCTGCCAATTTGTTTCTGACTGGTGGTGGCAGTCCTCCTTGTATTTTTGCTCGGAGAATCGATTGTTCCATGTGGTTGAAATCTGGATAATTTCCGGTAATATTTCTCCAGGCTTGATGAGCTCTTGACGCGTAGGCTCTTGCATTCTCATGTTCACCCWCTGGTTCGATGATGATATTGTCTGGATGAATATTAGCTGGAAATATTGCTCTCAAAGCCCTCCAAAACTGTCCTCTGTATGCTGCAAAAAGTTCTGCATCATACACCGTTGTTACAACTTGTCTTTGAAGTCCAGCTTTCTGTGAAAGCTCTTCCATGGCTGGGACTCCAAGAATATTTGCAAGAAGACATTTAATGTCTCCAATCGAGGGCTGAGTCCTAGTAAATACTTCTTCCAGCTTTGAGATCTATGGCTGTGCACCATCCTGGATTACTGGCAGTTTTTCGATTATATCTGACATGTCCGTGTTCTGCCATGGTTTACATTCAAGATTCTGTCCTCGGACTAGTACTGGGGCCATCTTCTTTACGTCTTTCTTTCGTAGGTTGCACCTCCCAGGAAGGCTGTGTTGAACTATTTTTCTTTTTAATTCTTTTTCTTTTATCTTCAACTGCTGCAATTGTTCTGTCAGCAACTGCTGGTTTTCTTTACTGGTAGCTTGTTTCAACTCAGTACGACATTCAAGCTTAAAAGCTCTTAGTTCCTCCAGCATTCGTTCGATGTCCAGCGATTTAGGCGATACTGAAGTGCCGGTTAGAGGACTCACAGCTGTCTTCAGAATCTGCCTCGCTTGAGTCGCTGTCTAAGGTGATATTCTTTGGCTGTCTTTTGCCTCTTAACTCAGCTTTCTGCAGGATCRGTTTAATCCGCTGGTTGTACCCCCCAACTGCCTCATCAGTTTCACTCTGAATGTTGACTCTGTTGGAAAAGATGTTCTGTGAACCATCTGTTGTCTTTTCCTCAGAGTGGCATCACTGGTTCCGCACTTCGTGGCTGGATACATTTAAATGGTGGTTCTGGCTTTTCCCGTCTCCAGGATCCGTTGTTCATCGTCTTCGACATGATAAGTTCCTTCCTGATTAATCACTAGGGGTTGTGGGTAGATTTTCTCACATACATARGGTGGTGGACGAGAAATTTGAGCAATGTGAGAAAGGTTCATCCGCCTCTGTCCTCAGTTTTTCTGGAGGAGGTGATTTGTCCTTCTCGTTAACTGCTGTTGGCTTCGGTGTAGTTTGGAAATCATTGTCACCCTTATAAGCTTCCAGGCATCTCTGGCCCTCATTATAAAACAGCTTCAAAATACCAAGTTCTGCACAATGTTTGTCTTTATGTTTTTGTCTGTGCCTACCTTGTTTCTGTTCCGCTTTATAAGCAGACACGAGAACCTGTATGGTTTCAATAACAGATGGATTAAATGTTCCTTGTTCTGGCCACGGTTGTTCAATATCTGGCCAACGTCTATGTAACTTTTTGGATAACTTTTCAATTCCAATAATCAAGGGATGCTCTGCTTTTTGTGGATGATGTGGTCCTGTTGGCTTCATCGGAACGAGATCTGCAGCTCTCGCTGGAGCAGTTCACGGCCGAGTGCGAAGCGACCGGGATGAGGCTCAGTGCCTTCAAATCCGAGGACATGGTCTTGAGCCGGAAAAGGGRAGAGTGCCTTCTCCGGGTCAGGGGGGTTGTCCTGCCTCAAGTGGAGGAGTTTAAATATCTGGGGATCTTGTTCACGAATGGCGGAAGAAGGGAGTGGGAGATCAACAGGCGGATTGGCGCAGCGTCTGCTGTAAAGCGGGCGCTGTACCAGTCCCTCATGGTGAAGAGAGAGCTGAGTCAGAAAGCGAAGCTCTCGATTTACCGGTCGATCTATGTTCCTACCCTCATCTATGGTCATGAGCTTTGGGTCATGACCGACAGAACGAGGT